TCACAGTGAAGCTGGAGATCTCACTAGCTAGGTCAGCCAGGAGTGTGGACTGAAGGAACTGGATTCAGACTTAAGCAGCAGCAGACAGCTGCCCCTAAGTGCTGTCGGGACTAAAGGCTTGTTTGGGTATATCTCCAGAGGTATGAGTCAGGGGTGGGGAGTGGGAAGTAAGGTGCTAAGTATATCTTACCGCAGTGTTGATGTTTCTTTACCTTTTACCTGTTCCCTCCCTTTGGCCCATTGGCCAAACCCTATAATTTTCTCTATAAAAGTGAGAACTCCCAGTTGTTTCTTGTGTCAGTTTCTGGGGTACAATGGAAATATACAATAACTTTAGAATAGTTACTCGGTCATGAGAAATTCTAGATTAAAACTATCCTTGCTGATCAGATATTTTCAACAGTACATTTATTTAAAAAAAAATCCAAGTTTTAAATACTGTAGGGGGCAGTTGAAGCCAGATTAATGATTAACTGGATTCAAACTATAATTTTGTATTCAGTGCTATTAGTTTTTTTTCTGCTTAGAATGTGCTGGCACACAGAGATAGTAAGGTTGGAGTGCCGCTGATGTCATAAAGGCATATCAGAATTGTCATAAACCAAACAGGTTGCAGCATAGGATTAGCTAGCAGGCATGGTTTTACAAGTATTATTTAATGTTGCATTTGAGAAATTCCAAGGTAGAACAAAATGGTAGGTAGCCAATACTTCTTAGAACTACTAGTTAATTAGATTTATAATTGTATGGCTGGGAGTAGAACTTCACTGGTGAAACATGGTTAAAAATCAATCACATAATATGGCTCAGGGTCACAAGTAAAGATAGACAAATCCCATAGAGTTTTGATGTGAAGCCATGTCAGTCTTTGCAGTAAGGTCAAAAAGTTGTCTAAGAAAACAGTACTGGCAGCAGAACTGAAAAGAAACTCTAAACATGCTCCCTTCATTTTTTGTATATGTTTATATATCTGGATCACTCAATGGCCAGATCAAGGAGGAGACAGACCCTTAATAACTCTCTGCTGCCAAAGGCTCTTAAAACTGGAGAGAGTGCACTTTGGTTTGTTAATCCCAAGTGATTAGGCTATTGAAAGAAGGAATGAATCTTCAGAATAAAAATACCCTGAGCAGTGGAACATACATTTCCTTTACAGTTTCCTCTCTTGGGTTTAGAGATTATCACATGCTGGGACAGGAGAGGCCTGCTTGGGGAGGAAAGGTCCAATGGAGTCTTTGTCCATTATGAAAAGAAGCAACTGTCCAGATGTGACAGGCCTCCACCTGGTTTACCTTAGCATTGCATCCCAGGTGGCCAGGCTGCAAGCGGAGTAGCTGAGACCATGTGGTTAGAGGGCCTGCTCCCCATTGGCCATGGGGCCTGGAGGCCATGTATTTAAAACTGGCCAGAGGCTGAGGAGAAGATGGACGTGGACGTGTCTGGACACTGGGAATGGAGCCAGATGCACTTGCCATCCCCAGAAGCAACCCAACACTTCTCCTGCTAGCCGGTGAGCCTGGGGAAGTAGAACAAGCACACCTCACCCTGGAGGCAACTGGGGAAAATGTGGGCACAGCTGACAGGGAGCCAGCTATATGTCCTGGGACTGGTTGACCCAGGCAGAGCAAGAGGATCCCATCAGCCTACTGAGGACTGAGGCCCAGACACAATGCTGAGCCTCTTGACCCTGGTCACAGACAGCATGGCATGCCAAGGAACTTGTCCGCTGTCATGGTGGAAAGATTGCATGGAGAATTAAAGGTGAGGTGGGGATGGGAAAGTGCAGACGAGTGGGCCTTGTGGGCACCTGACAGGGGTGAGGTCTGGAGGGATGGCGTATGAACCCCATACACCCCCACAGTGTGGCTGTGCTCCCAAAGTGTGCCAGCGAGGGACAGCTGTGACGTTTGGCCCCAAACAGGCCTGGAAGGGAATGCCCTCGAGCCCTGGTACATGTGTCCGATTGGGAAGGACCCAGGGCAAAAAGGCCAAGTAGCCTGAAGGGGACAAAGGGACTTCAGGGTTGGCTCTCAACACTCTGTGCTCAAGATTGAGCAGCTTGGCATGGTGGCATTGGTGCCCTGCCCACCACTCAGACCGAGCTCCTTTAATTTAAGTTCTTGTGTTGCCATTTTTTTGGGAGAGTGACAGAACTGTGGTGTGGCACCTTTTCTTTGTCAAACTGCCATGTGAGAAACAGAACTGCAATGACATCGAGGCACTGCCTGAATCCACCATATCACCTGAGTGGAAAGGAGTGGGGTGTAGAGGAGGAGGAATCCTACGCAAGACACACCAAAGAAGGCATTTCTGAACCCATATAGGAACCACTGAGCACCATCTCCAGACGTACGGAAAACAACAACTTGTGGTGGGCAAGTAGGGTCAGGTGCCACCCTAGGTGGCAGGATGTGGGCCTGTCACACCAGGTGTAACCATTGAAAAGGAAGACCTCAATAGAGTCCAATTTTTTTTAACTCTAAGGTTGACCACAATCTATATATAGTTTGGAAAATGGTTCTGTGCTAATCGTTTCACTAGCTCTGCTTTTAAATTGAGGCCCAGCTGTAGTCAGCTAGTATTCCATTGATGTAAGACCCATGTTGTTCATGTGGGTTCCAGTTTGTTCATGGAATTTCATTTTTCAGTCATGCTAAAACTAGAAAAAACCCTATATATCAGATTGCAACACCATGCATTCTTACCATTAGCTTAACTGTACAGGTTTCAGACTGGGACATAACCCAAACATCTACAAAAGATTTGTTACAACCTTTTACATATAAAAGCACAGCAACCTTGGCCCATTCCAGACCTTCAAGACCATCTTATAGTTAGAATTGGGTTTTTAATAGTTGTGCTGCTTCAAAATCCTTAGTTCCTTCTACTAAAGTAAAAGAAAATGACAAGAATATAAGGAAGAGAAGAAGGAAGGCAGGTAGTCTGAATATGCAAAGGGTTTCACTTCAGAGCACTTTAAAAGAATTAGACACCTTTCTTCTCTGAGGTGTTTCTATATTCCCACTTGTGGGAGTCTAGCTATCAGTAAAAACCCTGAGTAGGGAGACTAAGAAGTTCTAATTAAGTGAGAGTAGAACTGCCTTCCTAGAGTGTACATCAGGTTCTAGATATTGAAGTGAGAGAGTACAACTGTGTAAGTGTATAAGCAGAACTCCAGGGAGCTAACCTGCAGGTTTCTAACATAGCTTTCTTATGGAAGCTTTTAGTCCTAATAGAAACTACTAATGCAATGTTATCTTAGCTAACATAACCTGTTTTGATACACAGGTTTATCTATTTTAAATGAGTGTAAATAAATATTTCTGTGACAGTGATTTTCAAAGGTATCAGTCTGGATCCTGTAATATTACCCAGGTGAAACCCAAAGCACTTTTGTTATCTAGGCCTTGTCTGGCCCCCTGAGATGTTTTGCAAGAAAAATGGAAGATTAGAGATCTGTTCCAGGTAGAATTCAGTTGTCTTGTCTTGTATGGTAATTCAGGTGTCTCATCTCTGAATTATCATACAAGGTAGAATATGAGTTTCCAGGTAGACTTCAGGTGTCTCATCTCTCATGTCTTCTCCTGAACCATTGTAGTTCCTACTTTAGAAACTGTTGTTTGACTTCACAGTTCCCAGAATTGCCTGCAGTTTGCATTTGTAGAGATAGACATAAAGGGAACATCCTCCGGAGAAACTAAAGAGGAAGCAGTCACCTTCTGCTCAACATGCCTAACTATGTATTTTCTATTTCTTGTACCTTCTCTAAACTCCACAAGTGTTTATGAATACTAGCTACAGTGCAACAGGTCATTGATCCTGTTTTATACTGGACCATCTTTTGTTTAAACCCTTTGTCCCCTGTGCATTTTTCAATGAGGAACAGACTGCAAAAAGTCTTGTTTTTGAGTTCATTGGTGGAAATACATGTCAAGCATATGTCCTTGCAATTATATTGGCTGTGCCTAGAGGTAGGGTGGTGCACAGCCAGGAGGAGCATGGTTGGGAGCCAACCAGGGAGGGAGGTGGAGGATCCCAGGGACTGGTCATTCTGCGCTTGTGGGAAGCATGTGCAGGCAGAGCAAGGCCTGTGGTGCTGCTGCGTGCCTGAGCTCCCTGATCCTCAACTGGCCATGTGCAGGTGGCCCCCAGCCCCAAGGGCAACTGAGCTGCCAGGGTTGGGCAGTTGGGCTGCCCACACACCCCCTACACTGCCTCAGCACTAAGGCTATGTCTTTGAGATCAGGCAGGTGGAGCACTGCATTTGTATCTGCTGGAATGCCAGTGAGACTGGGAGGAGGCTTTTGTCACTGTCTTCTTACCCACAGAGCAGCCCAGTGAGTCTGTTGCGTGTCCTGCTACACAGGCAAACCTCTCTGTTTCTGGGGGAAAAAAGGGGTAGTTCCACCAGGCAGCTAGCTGCACTGCCAGCACCCACCAACCCCACTCTGCCCAGCCTTGACCAGAATGTGGCCAGGGCAGGTTCCTGGGTTCACAGGGAAACTTGAGAATCTTGACGAAAATAAGTTATTTAATCTTTTTAATACCATGCCACAGTACTCATACAGAGAGGTTTTTCTCTGATGATCACAGCTTGGAGAAATTAAAGGAATAAACCAGAGGTAGACAGTGCTAAAGCAGCTTGAAAAAATGAAAGGAACCAGCTGGAGGTAGGCAGTGTGAAAGTAGAGCTCCAGATATGCATAAATTTAACTGGGGGATGTAAGGACATGTACTCCGAGTTCTTCAAAAACAAAAAAATTCTGAAAGAGGCCTGGGACGGGCAGAAGTACAAATGTTTTTAAGGTATTGCCTACTATAATGAGTTGTAGTGTCATTTCTATTTAAGTTAGTATTGACTAAGTTTATAGTATGCATGTTTAGCTATCTATTTGTAATGCTATAGTTTTGCTTTCTTATTGTAGTTTACTTATATTTTATTATTTTTGTTGGTTTTACTTTATTGATATAGAATGAAAATAAATATTATAATACAAATTAGTTATAATAATTATTTTTATTAATTTGGTACTCATGAACAAAATTGCTACTGTCTGGATTAAATGTCTATAAGTGCAAAATGAAAGAGAATATTTTATTATATAGTGAGCAATAAGTCAAGGCAGGTACCATTTTCTGCCTTTTTGTGGTAGCCCTGCCCCTTGCTGCTGCTTGTCCAAGGGGCCTGGTGGCCCCACCGCTTGCTGCTGATTTGGCCAAGGAGGTGGCAGCCCTGTCCCTCATCGCTGATTGGTTGAATGGGCCGGTGGTTCCACACCTTACCAAGGGGATGTCCTGTATTCTGGGAATGTGTCAGTGGCCACTCTACCTGAAACGGAACAAGATAACGAAGATGAATATGGACGCAATGTCTTCGTTCTCTTGGAAAAAGCAGAAGAATAAAAAAGAGTTGACTACTATGTTCCCCTAGATGATCACATGGGTAGAGGGAGGGATAGAGGAAACTTCCAATGGATTATCAAGACAGTGCTTCGTGGAAGACAAGGGACAGTGAAAGCCAAAAGCTTTTTGTCTTGGGAATAGTCTGTGTTAGTTCTGGTCAAACTGTTGGCCCCACAGGTCAGAGGAGTGATGTGGGGCCAGTCTGTGGGCCAGATCAAGCCCCATGTGCCAGGATCAGGCCTGCACTGTCTCTGCCTGGCCCTACCTGCACACCTGCCTATGTGGCCTCAGCTGACCCCCATGCACCAGGATCAGACCCTGCCCAGCCAGTATCTGATGCCAGTGCCCTGGGATTGGGCCCTGGGGCCTGGCACCAGCCCTGAGTGCCATGCACCAGGAACAGGCCCTGGTGCCCTATCCCAACCCCTCCCAGTGCTGTGTGATGGTATTGGTCCCTGGTGCCACTTTTGCATGCCAGGATCAGTATGGGGGCTCCATGCTGCCCTCTATTCAGCCCTACATGCTGGGATTAGGACCCCAACAGCCCTGCCGATCAAGTGCCTGGATCAGGCCTTGTGTACTGAGATCAACCCCCGAAGCCCGGTGCTGCCCCTGCTTACCCCTGTGCATTGGGATTGGGTATCTATCATACAGGGTCTAGGGCTCAAGGGTCCAGAAATTTGGCAGCAGGGGAGTGCTGCCATCACTCCCCTGTCAGCAAGTTTTTGGACCAGCGGGGAGCTCCCTGGGCCAGATTACATGACACAGGGGGCTGGATATAGCCCTTGGAACAAGGGTTGAGCAAACATCCCCGGTCTATGCAGACTTCAATGCCTGCACAACAGCTGTCCAATGGATGTTAAGTGTTGCTGGATTCTTCTGTTAAAAAGAGTATTTGATGTGAAAAAACAGGATACATCCTGCCTGGGAGACATTTCAAAGAGTTAATACTGTAGAGCTTATTATATTCAGAAGCAGGTGGCTTGTCACTTTTCCAGTTTATGGCTATTATTGTAACTGCAGATACCTGTGTGTTCTTGCTTTGATCACCAATACTATAATTTATCGTCAGGTTAAATGAACTTCCTTGCAACATGCAAAAGGCCATGCCCAGGTAGTTTACAAACTTGTATTCTCCCTTATGGGAAAACAAAGTACAGAGGCCTTTTGAAAACCATTTGCCTCTACTTCCTGAATATGAAGAGAATGTCAACAAACAGTGTTTCAACAGTTCTCAACAAGCAAAAGGGGAACGGGGTAATTCTTCAGAAACTGTTTAGCTACAGACTGATGACATAGAAATAACGCCCCCCCCCCAAGTAACTACAGGCTCTGAAAAGCAGCTGTCATGTCTTTAAAAATTAGTCTATATTTATTTTGAACAACTTAAAGCTTCAACGTGGTCTTCAAGAGTAGCTCCTAATTAGAACCCAGAGCAGCAAATCACTTGGGAAGTATGAGAGTGTTTCAGAAATTAATGGTAAAATGCTGCATGTCTGTGATAAAGTGGGAAACTACACTAGCAGAGAACACTGATGGCAACACTGTCAAACACTCATCATTTCTGACTAAGCAGAGAAATGATGTGGTCCAGTAAATGATCACTGCACACAAACTGGTTTTATTGGAAATTTCAATCAGTTTCTACACCCCACCCCACCCCTTGGCATCTTGAAGACTCAAATCAAGTGTATATATATGGAATTCTCACAAACCACCAAAGGTCCTATCCAGCTTTCCCCTCTGACAGGAGCTGGGGGAGGGGGGAGATTGAGACCTGTCTTTGTGAATGGGGACTACACTGCCTGTTGACCCACATGGCCTACATGACTTATGAGGAGAGGCTGAGGGAACTGGCCTTATTCAGTCTAGGGCAGTGGTTTTCAGCCTGTGGGCTGCAGACCCCTCATGGAGTCCACAGACCATGTGTAAGGGGTCTGTGAAAGGTGACTATGATCAATCAAAAGTATGTGAATACCCACACTTACAATTCAAAGGGGTCCAAACCTCTATTCAAAATTTCCAAAGGGGTCTGCAAATGAAAAAAAAAGGTTGAAAACCATTGGCCTAAAGAAGATTGAGAGGTGATTTAATAGCAGCGTTCAACTACCCAATGTGCAGTTCCAGAGCGGATGGAGCCGGACTGTTCTCCATGCTGGCAGGTGACGGAACAAGGAGCAACAGTCTCAAATTGCAGCAAGGGAAGTTTAGGTTAGATATTAGGAATAATTTTTTCACTAGGAGGGTAGTAAAACACTGGAACAGGCTACCCAGAAAGTGGCTGAAGCTCCATCCTTGGAGGTTTTCAAAACCTGGCTAGACAAGTCTTGGCTGGGATGATCTACTTGGGGATGGTCCTGCTTTGAGCGGGGGCTGGATGAGATGTGACCGCCTGAGGTCCCTTCCCACCCTCGCTTTCTATGACCCCCTTGTCTTGCCCCACAGGCCGTGACTGCATGTCTCCCAGGGGAGCGGATGAGCCGTGTGGGAGGGACATGGCCCGGGGCAGAGGCTGAGCCCCTTCGCTTGGGGACCTCTGTCCACCCTCCTCTCGCACAGCCCGGCTGAGCCAGCCCCGATGCCCACAGCAACTCCGTGCTCCTCAGCAAGCCGCCGTGCTCCCTTCCGCTGGCCCTGCCCTCAAACTCCCCGTGTGCGAAGGCAGGCCCGGGTCAGGCTCCCGCTGAGCTGCCACACCCGGGCCCTGCAGCCCCGCCCCAGGGAGCCACGTCCCTGTGTAGTGGGCACTTGGACCCCGGGGCGGGTGAGAGGCTCTCAGCCCCGCCCAGCCCGGCTCCGCCCTCAGCAGCTGTAGCTGGGTCCGCGCCGGGGGCGGGCGAGGCGCACTGATTGGCTGCGCGGCCCGCGCAGTGCCTGATGGGAAGCGGCCCGGCTACCGCCCTCCCCCTCAGCTGCGGCGGCGGCGGGATGCGCGGGGCGTCCCGCGGCAGGTACCGCGCAGGCGAGGGCGGCGGGTGGGAAGTAAGCGAGGCTGCCCCTGCCCGCGGAGATCGCTGGGCTTAGGCCGCGGGCAGTTGCGTGCGGCTCAGCGGGCGCTGCGGCGCTCTGAGGTTTGGACCG